TGTTACACAAATTCACTTTCTTTCTCTCTCTTACACACACCTGTTTGCTCTCTGTGTAGGAACCCTGAGAGAGGTATCCATTTCCTGATCACACGTGGTTTTGTCCCAGACACGGCTATTGGAGTGGCTCACTTCCTGCTGCAGAGGAAGGGCCTGAGTCGACAGATGATTGGAGAGTTCTTGGGGAACAGCAAGCTGCAGTTCAACAGAGATGTCCTTGAGTGAGTTCACAGTTTTTTTTAAATATAATCCAACATACATACAACACTTTTAGATTTTTTTTTAGCTTTTTAACAAGGTTATACATTTGTACCACTTTCCAATAAGGCGCCCTTTAGAACGTTTTTTTTATTCTAACTGATGGCTTTGTTAAGTTCAATAAATTATTTACTAGGCTTTATAAATCAGTTATAAACCATTAATGGGGGTACTCCAGCAATTACATTTTCAGTGGTCAAATTCCAAAAAATTCTTGAACATACATTTCAGAGAATGCAACAAAGAAAAAAGGCATTATACATTTTCACAGGCTAAGTAGTAGACATCGTAAAAAGTATAGTGACCTTAATGTGTGAAATTGGTAGAGTGCCCCCTTATTAAAACATCTTCTCAGTTGCTAGGTTGTGAAAAAACCCTCCTGCAGTATGACACTTTCTTTGTCTTTTAGCAAACTCTTGAGCTACCCCGTTATAGAAAAGCGTGGTAGATCATCTGGAACAAAATCAATTTATTATAATCAACTTTATTTGCTACTTTACTAAATTACTCCTTGGCCCCTTGACATGACATCATCTCATCCCAAGGTCCATTTAACTGCTGTTCTAGAGCTCTTGACTGCATCAATGTAGATAGAGATTCAGGATAGAGAGGCTTTTTGCTGAGGTGGTAGCAGAGACTAGAAATAGGTCACTGCATTGAACACACACAGACACACACATACGCACACAGGCACACACCCTCACTTTCTTTTGCACAGACACTTGTATACACACATGCTGCACATAAATGGCCACATGCACAATATTGTGCATAGTACTCCCACTGCCAGAGTCTGCCCACAGCCTTTAATGCACCTCTCTTTTGCTCCCTCACTCTTTGCATTTCATTATTTCAGCCTCTCATCCCTCTGTTTCCTTCCATTTATTTCCTGGCGTGTCATCATGCCTTTTCCAATGATGTTTGCAAGTATCTGTGGGTGTGAGTGCACAGGTTATCTCTATGTGACTCTTCAAGGGCAGTGGCTCCATAATGGAAGTATGACTGTAAGAAGATTTGCCATCAGCACTTGGATGCTCTTGTTACACATGCACGTTCACAAACACACACATGCTGGCTTATTCACCTTCTCTTTCTCAGTAACACACTACAACTAAACCTAATCTCACCCTCCTTTCTCTCTTGTTTTCTTTCTGTTTATAGTTGTGTTGTGGATGAGATGGATTTCTCAGGCATGGAGCTTGATGAAGCCCTAAGGAAGTTCCAGGCTCATGTCCGTGTTCAGGGAGAAGCACAGAAAGTGGAAAGACTCATCGAAGCCTTTAGGTGAGACTCTCAATTCACTCACAACCAGGCCTCACTGACTAACAGGCTCTGGCTTCACTTTTTAATACAGTATCACATATTGAGCAGGACTGGTAAGGGCACTCTGCACTTTTTAAAATAAATAGACCTTTCTGCTGAGGCCACCTGTGCAAAATAGAAAAACAATAACACATAACTAATCTCACGTATTATGCAAATACACAAAAACAAAAGATAAAGTATTTTCCGATTTCATCTCAGATTTGGGTGGCAGATGTATCAAGTATGGCATACTAATAGACTGACTGTACAGATGAAGTGTTTAACTGGGTCTGCCAGCTCACTGCAGCAGTCTCTGATGAGACCAAAACCTTGTATCATTAATAAATTACACAGATTGCCTGTAACCTTTTGAGGAAACCTCAGCAGTGTTTGATTGTCAGCCAATCATAACGGAGATCTGAGCTGCAGGCAATCAGTGTGTGTTCCATCAGCCCAAAAATAAATGTTCTACTTTACAACTCTCTACCCTGGATGGCACTCTTTGGCTATATCTTCAGGCTTTGAAGACTCTTTGTATGTCCTGGACAACTGAGAACCTATTTCCATTCAAAATGATGCATTAATATGTATTAGTGCGTGTTTGGTACCCATGAGGTATTAGCTTAAGTTGGTTTTCTGTTCATTTTGTCACTGCCCCCTAGTCACTTAAATCTATGAGTCTATGAGTCATTTAAATACCAAGAAGGCATTGTAAGGCCTGTTTGCACTCTCCCTTTGCAGCTTTGAGTGAACTGTGTATCTTTGGCTCTAGTGAACTGCTCAACAAAGAAGTGTTGCTATTTTGCCTTTTGACTGAAAATTGTCTGAGGCAAAAACAAACAGAAGTCACCAGACAAATAGGTTCTGCAGTTGGCACCTCAACCCATCACTGACTGGAACTGTCCTTGAAATGTCCTGGTAATATCCAACAATTGCCCCCAGGACTAAAAATGCAATAAAAATGCCCATCATTGTTTTCTCTTTCAGAGTAATTGGTTGCATTGCAGTGTACATTTAATCTCCCTTTGCTGATGTGCTGCTCTTTTCCCCTAGAATACCAACAATGTGACCAGCAGGATATAAGCCACTACCCCTTTGAAGTCATTATCCAAGATGTCATTTTCCATTAACCAAAATTGCTAATTCAGTGTTAGAGGTGTGTATTCACCATATCAAATGTGCTGCCTGTTAATTTTCTTCCACTACTTTTCTGCAGTCACAATATGTGGCCTTTGCTTGTCTGAGCAACTGACCTTTCAGTGTTTTTGTGATCTTGAAGCTTTCTTCTTAAGGATAAGATATATTTTTCTATATTTTTCTTCAGTAAATCCAATGAAAATATCAAAACCATGAAGGTCCCTTTTTGAATACATTCCATCTCTCCTCCCCTGTCTGTGGCACACAGCCCTACATTACTATTATAGACTTAAGTATTTAACAAGGACAAGAGTCTACAGTCATGCTAGTGGCTCTGTGAGTCTGTATACTATATATGCACTATATTATGTACTTTGAGCTCAGTGTTAATTTCACAACGCATCCTCACAGTGACAGTGTTAAAATGTTGGTGCTTAGCAGGCAGGCTAGTGCTTACAGTGTTCACCATGTTAGTTTTGTGTGTTGTCACTTTAATTGTTGTTAATTAGCAGAAAACACAATCACCAAAGCACAGCTGAGGTTGATGAGAATGCCAGTAGTTATGCAGAAATAGTATTTGGCCATAAACCGCAGTACTGAACATATTAAAATATGGATCTGATGATGCCGTTAGATGAAAAGTCAAAGCATCACCAAAGTGCCACATTTGATTCTGAGGAGGATCTTTGTGTCAAATTTTGTGAGAATAGAGCAAATAGTTGTTGAACTATTTCACTCTGTACCAAAGTGAACTGACAAACATTGCCTTCCTTAGAGCCATGCTCCAAGTGTGGTGAACAAATATATTTTATAGTTATTTGTTATAGTTTTTGGGCAACATTGTAGCTCTATATCACAGAGGAAGCTGTGGCAGGCTGTAGCGACACAGACAGTACTTGTTAGAAAGATCAGTTCTTTGTTGGTTGTAGTCTTTTCATTTGATCTGTAAACATATGAAGAATACAGGCTTTAAATGGCCCTTTCCATTAAAGAAAATGTGTTTTACTAGAAGCAAAAAGTAGTAAGGGAAGCAGTCATAAGACTTTCCCTCTGTGCTTCTGATTTGAGGGCCAGTCAGAACATGCTGAGTCCCCTGGGTGCAGAACACAATTTTATCAGTGATCTGAGGCAACGCTCTCTGCAGCTGGAGCTGTGACCATAGGTCAGAAACATTCAGGGTTTATCGGAATAGCCGGGCGTCCAATGCCATGTCTGTTACATAACTGTTGTTATGTCATCTGTTTGAAGCATCTTGTACTCTTGTCATGAGTAATTCTTTTATACAAATGGGTATTTGTGCCAGCTGGCATGCAACTTCCACATGCAAATATAAAGATTTGGTGCTTGTGTTTAAATGAACTGGTTACATAAGATGGAGAACTGTGCTTAAAGATGTGTGAATGAAGCACGGACACACACACACATGCCCAGTGCTTTATTTAATCACTCAACTGTTTCCTCACTCAGTATATAAATGTGCACACATATGCACTTATACATCTATGCATACATGTAGCCACACAATAGATCTTGCCTTGTATTCAGTCTTTGATGAATTACATCCAGTTGGCAAATCAGGAGGTGAGTTTGTGCATGTGTCTATGTGTGTGCCTGTGCTTATTTTATCAGTAGAGGTGTCTGTGCAGAGCAGGATTTCTCCCTAAAGCAAAGGCATTTACTACTGGGCTGCAGTCAAATCTTACACTGAGTTCTCTGGCCTTGGATCTGGTGTGGGGTCTGAGAAAAGAATTTCTGGTTGCACAGGTTTCATATATGGCATCTAATTTGCATACTCCCCGGGAAGTACAATAGTCCTGTGCTGCTCTCTTGATGTCTGCATCCTGCATGGCTGCAGAAGTAAAATCCCTCCACCACTGAAATGGCCCACTGTGTAAGTGACAGCAAGAAAGACAGGGAGGGAGCTGTGGAAGATGAAGGGGTGGAGGTGAGAGTTCGTGAAGCCTGGGGATAGTGATGGAGCAAAGCCAATCCAAATGCAGCATCTCATAAGCAGCTTTACCTTAGGCCATAAATCATTTTGCACTGTCAAATGTCTCCTATGTCCTGTCACTTTAATTGATGGCAGAGCAATGGCTCATCACATCTGAGTAGAAGTTAGAGTAGTCAGTCTTCAATCATAAAACAGTGCAGGCTGCATAGTGAGATATCTGCCTTAAAATAATCTGAATACCTCAATCTCAGAAAGAGCACTTTTAAATGCCATTTTGTATTTTGTCTTTATAACAATTTGTACTGATTTCTCTTAACAGTGCACTCCCTGATTTTTTTTTTTTACTGTGCACAACTGCAACCCCAGAAATATCAAGATTTCCGCTTAGTTCATGTTTATATTTTGAAACTCAACACACTAGCAGAGAGGAAATTTTGGGATGCGGGAGAGCAAGTTGGCACATTAACAAAGCTAGGGAATGCATCGTTAAGTTTTGGTACACTGACTTCAAGCCTGAAGCAACAGAGGTTCTAAGAAGTGTTTTTAATATTCAGTCCGCTCTCACCAGTTAGGTGTCTGGTGCACGAAATATTAAAAACACCTCTTAGAATAAAGCAATACAGTTCAACAGCAGTACCAACTTCAATTTCTGAAATGACCACTTGTTGAATCAATGCATTTTTAAAACAAAATCTCTTAAACAAACATTTTAATATTAACCTCTTTATGAAGGTAGGATTTGTGAATTCTCCAGGATGCTATTTGAATGATCACTGGGATTTCAGTGCTGCTGATGGCCCTTTGTCATATTGTATGTTCTGCATCTCTGAAACATTTCAGATAACCAGGACACTATTATTCATTTAAGAATTGACAGAGACATTTTTTTTTCTCTTTTTCAATATCTTTTTCAAATTCATGATGCGCATCTCTGTTGTATTATTTTTTCTCAACAGCCAGAGGTACTGTATGTGTAATCCTGATGTGGTGCAGCAGTTTCACAATCCTGATACCATCTTCATCCTGGCCTTCGCTGTGGTCCTCCTTAACACTGACATGTACTCGCCCAACATCAAACCCCAGCGCAAAATGGGCCTCGATGACTTCATACGCAACCTAAGAGGTTAGTGTGTCCCTATGCACAATCTGTATGCATGAGTGAGACAAAGGATGAGTGTTTACATGGAGGTTATTTGTACTTCATATGTCTTTTCAGGGAGTGTGAGTTGTCTCTGTGGACAAAGCTGGTATATTGAATTACAGACATGCTTCAACATTTATACTAAGAGTAGAGTATCTGAACTGAATTTATAGAGAGATACATATGTCAGAAAGAATGATAAGGAATACAAAAATGGAGCAAAGTGCAGGAGAAGTCAAAGTTTTACAACAAGCACTTTCTTATCAACTCACCATCAGTCTTTTGAGTGACAGCTTCTTTTAAATGAATGAAGTTACTCAAGGACACAGCAGTTGCTTGCCTTTGCTTATTACCATCAGTAGTGCAGAAGGCGACTCATGATATCCTAAATTCAGAGCTCTACCTCGGAGACGGTGCCGTCGAACCATTTAATTGAGTTTCACATTAGATTTATTGATATACATTTAGGTTTTCTGGAAGAATCTCATCACCTGCGCTGTGCTCACAGAGGCTCCCAAATGTACAGATGGGTGACAAAGGAAAAAATCAACATAAAGTGTTTCAGTAAGGTGTTGAGCTGCCATGTGCCTCGCCAGGTCTCTGAACCGGAGGGATGAACACCATTCTTTCAAGAGATATTCCCTGAGTGGATGTTTTGATGATGGGGGTGGAGATGCTGTCTAACACATCGCTCTGACATCTCTCAGTTGAACAGGTGTTCAACTGGGTTGAGATCAGGTGACTGTGAAGGCCACAGCATGAGTCACATCATTTTCATACTCATCAGATCATTCAGTGACCCCTTGCGCCCTGCGGATGGGGCATTGTCATCCTAGAGGAGACCACTCATTTATTCAGGCTATTCAGGATTAGCAGTCTGACTTCTATGTGTACAATTTGTTTTTCATATAATATTGCACAACTCTGTTTTCTCCTTAGTCTGACTGTAGTGACGATTTCTGTGATCTTCTCAATTGTGACAATAGAACAACTTCCAGGACACAATGACAGCACACATACTGGCATAAAGGCACTTTTTTTTTAAATTCATAGCTCTAAACCACAAAATGAAATCAATGAAATTATCTCTGATAAAACGTCTATGAGCACACACACAGTCAGTCTCAAATCCAGTGATATAGTTAGGATCTCTATCAGCTTCCTGCAGATGTTGTTAACCTTCCCAGGGGTCTAGCGGATGATATGATTTAATTTGCAATTTAATGTAATGATTTAATTTACAACCAACAATAATTTACAACCATAATCTACAACTGTGAATAATAAAAACATTCAGAAGATAAATGTCAATGGACCAATTCCAAAATGTGTCCGTTGATGGTCTCATCATACTTTCATAAGAACCGACTTGTAAGTCTTGATCATTTAATTTCCAGTTTATGGAGCCATCTGCTCTCTCTGTTTGAAATACTTCAGTATCTGAAAGCTATGAAACAGCACAATGCAGGTTATCTTTCAGGGGGCTCTTTCTTTTTAAAGCATTTCTAGACTGCTCCGTGCCCTCAGTAATGTCCCTGTGTTATGTCCTCTTGGACCATTTGTTGATATCTCATCCTTGACAATGGCCTCCTACAGTCGTTAGGTATGTTATTTATTTACTGTGTCATGCACAAGGAGTATCCAGTGGAGTTTCTTAGAAACAAACAAAAGTTATGGTTATGTTGTAAAGCGGTCTTCTTCTTCACTGCTTGTGCTGCCACATTATTACATTTTTGGCACGTTTTCACCAACTGTCAAACAGAATAGCACAATCCTGGGAGAGGAATAGGTATTGCATTGCCAGCGTGTCCAGTTTTGTTCAAAGCTACATATACTGTACATGAGCCCAGCTGCATGCACAACACAAAGAAACATGCAGGCCTGCCTACAAAAGCATACTATAGCACCACCAGTGGTCAAAAACTCTACAGTGTACTTTTAAGCCACCAGCTTTTGCAATGGTGGAATATTTGTTAGACGACATAACTTCTTACACTTAACATCACATTGCAAACAAAGAACTTTGTCTCTTAAAGATGCTACAAATTAAAACAAGTTTTTTTTTTTTGAACGGTCATCCGACCAGATGAACCCATTGGAAATAAACATTTTACTAAAAAGTGCAGCCCTTAAATAATCATATAATGAGCACTGAAGCATGAAATGGACAAGTAAATCTCATAGCAAAGTTTCTCTGTGCATCTAAAGATCTTTTGATTAAATTCTGCCTCACACAGCACTATGGTTGTTTTTCATTACATTCATAGTTTAGGTTTCTACTAACATGTTGTCTTCTCTGAGTTGACTATATGCTAAACCTATTTCGAACAGAGATTGTCCCATTGTAGCTTAGCAATCGTAATTATAGGCCTATCAAGTTTTTGACTCCTCAGTGCATGAAACTGTCTGTATACATGGGGACTAGTAATATCGACACCTGGTATATAAAGATTTGGAAGGGTGGTGTCATTTTTAGCTTTTCCAAAACCAAAAACACAAGAACAAAACTATAATGGTTGAAAGATGCACGATTTAGAATGTGTGCACATCAGCTTAGTCCTTATTGGACTAGCTTTAGTACAAGTTGATCCTGTTTCTGTATTTCCATGCATCCTCAGCCGGTGAGCATGTTGATCTAATGCCTGGAGCTGCTTTAGTCTTTTAGCACCATACTATATATGTCGCCATCATCTACATTTTTAAAACCCCTCTTACAAGATTTTTCATTCAGAACAAGTCAGGTGGAAACATCATCAAAAGGCCCCTGCAGGCACTTAGCAGTAATGTCCCAAAAGAACACATATTTTTAGAAGTAGCAGTAGTTTGCCACTAGAAATGCTAACAGAAGATTCAAAGACATCAATTTTAGCTCATTAATATGCACATTTATTTTAAATTTACCCATTTCTTGTCTTGATAGTGATGACTTGTACATTATATGGGCCTTTGCTCTATCAGGTGTGGATGATGGAGCAGACATCCCAAGAGAGATGGTGGCCGGCATTTATGAAAGGATCCAGCAGAGAGAGTTCCTCTCAAATGAAGACCATGTCACCTATGTGAGCCGTGTAGAGCAGTCCATCCTGGGCCTGAAAACTGTAAGCGATATCTATGTTTGTGTTCAAGTAGCTCCCCACTCCCTTCCGTACTTATTTGCACAGTCTCTTTTCTCTTTACCTTGTATTATTTCACCGCACTCTGTCATCTGTTCTGTTTCTCATCTTCATGTTTTTAACCTCACCTCTGTAGATCCTCGCTGTGCCCCACAGACGTCTGGTGTGCTGCTGTCGTTTGTTTGAGGTGCCTGATGCCAACAAACCTCACAAACAGAAACTGTCCCAGCTCCAGAGAGAAGTCTTCCTCTTCAATGACCTGCTGCTGGTAAGGATTCACCACTAAAATGTGAATGCTCTAAATAAGCATGAGAAATAACATTTTCCAGCCAGTGCAGAACATAATCAATCTTGACATAATCAAATATATGTTAATTCAGCCATGCTGTGCATTATGTATCTACTGTAGATCCTGAAATTGTGTCCCAAGAAGAAAAGCTCAGCCACATACACCTTCTGTAAAGCAATGGGTCTTCTGGGAATGCAGTTTCACCTCTTCAGCAATGAATGTAAGATGCTAAAGCAGAAGTTTATGCTCAGTATGTTGAGCTAACTGTCAGGGGCATAACAGCACTGCTGTCTGGCAAGTCTGGGTCCTGACCTCCTCTGTGATATCACATGAGTCTCTTCAGACCTTATAACTGTGCATGAACTACAGTATGCATGGGCTTCTAGCTTCTAACTGAAGCTGTGTGTGACCTTCTTTCACCCTCACATTCTGCCATGCTGGCTGCTACTCTGGTTCTGTTATGTAATGATATCGTGAGCTTTTCATATCAATGATAAATATAGTCACATTTTAATATCATGAGATCTCATGGCACAAGATCTCCTCACACCCCTACTCATAATTGAAAATTGTAATTTATGGATTTATAAATGGATTGTCTGATGATAAGCTGAAGTAGGGAGCACATTAAAATTTGATCTGATGATGACACTAGATAAAAAGTCTGAGAATCACAAATGTTACTACTATCATCTTTGTTGGGGTATCTCCTCAGACTATGCTCATGGCGTCACCATGCTGAGCCCGTTTACCTCCGAGAAGAAACAGCTGGTGAGTTTCTGCTCCCCAAGTGGGGAAGAACTGAGGAAGTTTGCTGAGGAGCTCCGCGAGGCTATTGCAGAGGTCAATGAGATGGAGCAAATACACATCCAGTGTAAGGAAAGAACACACACCTCTACATATGCCAGTGCAAACACATACTGTACATACTTGACTGCATAGGGCTAGTTGCAATCTGTCTTTTTGATGTTTTAGGGGAAATGGAGAGGCAACAGGGCATCCAGCCACATGGCATACACACCAATGGTGGGCAAGTGGACACACACACAGGACACGGCTCTCCCTCAGGTGCTGATTTTGCTCATGCAGCATAAAATGCATAAGCAGACATTAGTCATCACAATGCATACAGTACATTACTAAAGGGAATGGAGAAAATAGGACAGCTTCACAGAAGTGAGGCACATAAAAATGCACACTGTAAAACTTTAACTGTTACTGTTGCTGTAATTGCCATGTTTAATATTAAAGAAAGAACCTATGGCAGCACTCAAAGAGTGCAAGGCAGCTCAATTTCCCCATAATGCCATTACACCTAAAAGCAATATTCCCAGGCGGTTTTTCCTGAGGTTCTACCTCAGTAGCCTTTGAAGATACATCAAATCTTTAACACCCAATTGAATCAGTAGCATTTCAGCTAGAATTTGTTCTTAGATGCAAGTCTGAGCACTGTTTGTGGTCTCACAGTAGTGAGTTTTACGTGAGCCCATATTTTGGATCACCACATCTGGAATAGGCCTTTTATTTGGATCCAGATCATGCTTTGGTGTCTGGTAGATCTTACATGGAAGTTATGGTGCAATTTTTGCCCAAGCCTTGTAGGTATTATGTATGGAGTTAGAAGCAAAAATATTGAAATTGGCCCTATCTTCCAGTGGTGAAGAATCCATTAAAAGATTCAGTTCAATTCAATTTTATAGCACCAATTCACAACAAAAAAACATCTCAAGGCACTTTTCATTATAAAGTCTATGATCAGCATCAAAATTTAAAGGATTTTTCGATTAGAATCTTACTTCTTTTGTGGAGCTGCAAATTGTTATTTTTAATTCTTTTGTTACAGGTCAAACCAGTGGTCAACCAGCTTTCTTACACAAAGTTAGAAGATACAGGAAACGACTAGTTTGGCTCTGTTTGAAGATAACAAAATAGCCTACTGAATTTAGTTACCTTTGAACAGAGCCATCTGTTTCTCCCTCTTCGTGGTACAGTGGCTTAATGCTGTATATACACTACAGACATGAATCATGTCATCTAACTCTTGGCAAGAAAAAAAAGTTTTTCTGAACAAGTCATTTAAATAAATGACAACCCCCTCTATGAAGACCTGTATTGAACAGTTTTGACATTCTATATATGAATCTGAAACCTGCCTGTTAACTTACATATAGAGCTGTTTCTCCCCACAGGCCAACAAGATGCATATGATAAAACTGGCAACAACACAGTAGAGGTGAGTGCCAAAGCTGCTGTTGCCTCCCTCAGGTAAGTATCTGCATCGTCAGCTCTGTGGGTGTGGTTTTGTATGTGAGCGTGTGTGTGGTTAGACAGGGATTGTGCTTCATCCTGAACAAAAAATCAGCTTTATGCTTTGCTTTAAAAGAGCTTCGCCTGAGGCATATCCCTACTATGCAGCTGAGGATACAAAGGCTGCTGAGAGGAGTCTGCTGTAGTGGTGTTACAAACAATCTCTTTGTGTGCCTCATGAGTGGAACAGCAGCCACTCTACTCACTATACAACGTCCCTTCTTTCATCAGCTGTTGCTTGCCAGTCTTACTATATAAGCCTTTGCAAGCCACCATAAGCCTGGCTGGCTCCTAGAATACATCTACAAAGTCAGATAAGCTTGATACTGTTAACAGTGTGTTGATTGTGCGTGGGTGGATGTGTATTTGTAAAACCAGCCCTTCCTCTAAATAAGCATAGTGATAGAAGCTGTTTCCTGTTTCCAGTTTTCTCTGTTGTATTCCTTTACCAGTTTCTCCTTTGCCTCTCAGTCAGACCCTTAGGATTGTAAATTACTGTTAGTTAGGCAGACACCACGCCCTCGGTGTCACCTTTCTCCTCTCCTGATGCTCCCTTTATCTTTTAGCTTCTCCTTCTCTCACTCATTGATAATATTTACACACACACACACACACACACACACACACACACACACACACACACACACACACACACACACACACATATACACACAGACACAAATCTGAAATCCCAAGACTTCTCTGACCAACATCTCTTCTTACCCTGCAACCCTTTCCTCTTTCTGGGCTGTGTGTGGGGTGGGAGGTGTACAAATGTGATTGAGAGAAAGAGTAAATCATATAAAAATCTTGACTGAAAGAAAAAGAGAGTATTTGTGTATTTTGCATGGCCTCGCTCTGCATACTACATGTCCGCATGCCTGCATGCCTGCATGCCTGCATGCCCACGTGCGTAACACACCAGAGGGCTGCTGTAGAGGCTGCGTTCAGGCTGGTAACTCCTCATGCGTTCTCTGACTGTTCCTAAACTAGGTGTCAATTCACAACAGGCTGCAGACCTATCAACTGAGCCAGCCCAGCACTGAGTCCATGCCTCTGGCCCTGACTGCACCGCCCGCCCTGCTAAGCCCTGTCCAGTCAGGGGAGCTACGCCCAGAAACACTCATTCAATGCCAGCAGATTGTCAAGGTTATCGTGGTGGACCAGAGTGGGCGGGGGAGGATGGAGGCCTTCCTCAGCCAAAGCCCAGCCACCCATCACCTCATCCAGTCGGCCATGTCTACACCTGTTCATGTCAAAGAGGGGGATGGCCCTCAGCCACCCCTGCCACCTCCCCCTCCACCTTACAATCACCCCCACCAGTTTTGTCCCCCTGACTCTCCCATGCCCCTCCACCACACTATGCCTCTCACCCGCAGGCGCAACTCCAGTGGCTCTCGCAGCATCGTCTGAGTCATCTACAACTCAGAGAAGGCAGACATGACTCAGACACACAGTGACTGGAGCATTACTCGATTCACTTTGAATGGTAAAAGAGCACAGCAAATAAATGAAGGGATAAGTCACATGGAAGGACAAAGGAAAAGGAAAACACAAGAATCTATTCTTAGCCTTGACCGAGCAGTGTTTGTACTGAACATGGAGTCATTTCGAAGTACAACTTCAGTTTTTTTGTCTCTAACTCGTCACCCAGTAGCTGACTGTGTTGTCTGTCTAGAGTTCATGATCGTTAACATATCCTGTGACTTTGCATTTTGAAATGTCACCTGTCCAACAAACCTGTCTGTGAGCTATGATGATGATGGAAATGAGGGGCAAATGTCAGAAAAACAAACTCTGGCAACCATGACAGGACAAAACTCAGTTTTGTTTGGCTTTCTTTCAAGATATTGATGTGAAGTTCACATCTGTTTGGTCCAGGTTTTCACTTAGATACCAAACTCGGTGAGGAAATTTTCAACCCAGCTAATCTCAACAGTGTAATCATTCTTCTTCTCATCTCTACGTAATGTGAAGAACAGTACCAGCTTATTTGTTTCCTTCATTTTCTGAGGAACAGATAATTAGTATGTTTAAAAGAGAACATCTCTACCACACTTGACATCTCTACCTTGTCATGTATATGACATTGCTGCTCACTAAAAGTAATCTAAAACCATATTCTGATGACAATCACATGTTTGTGCTTCAATCTCATGTGTTTTTCTGAACTTGTGTGCCACAGAATCAGGGCAGTCACACATTACTGGGTGACTGCCCTGATTCTGTGGTGTTGTGCTCTCAGAAAGGTCAGGAAAGGATTTGCAGCACTGAAACATGTAATCTGCACCTCTGAGTTGTACTGAGAGCTATGTGTTTGTTTACTGTGTTCATTCTGCTTACTCATGGGCAGTAGGGAGTAGAGCTGATAATTCATCCAAAACAAGGCAAAAACAGGCAGGTGAAGCCTTTCTCCTTCTGTACATTTACTCCTAGTAGGTTACCTAGTATGAATATCAGTGTTACCTTTGGATTTAGACAGTTTCTCTGCCTTAGTCTGCTTTAGTTTAAACATGAATAAAAATACAGGGCAGACTAAGTTCACCCCAGAGAAATACTACTCCCCTCTAATGTATTATGTTATTCCTTGCACACTGAAGATGTTATATAAGCAGAGATGCATTCCTTTACTGAATGTGAAATCAGGGGGAAAACTGATGATGTTCATGTAATAACTGTTGATTTCATTACTGTGTCATCTGTCCAGTATTGGTAGTTTGAGCCAGTTTGTACAGCAGATCACAAATCATCCGACTGGCACACTGAACATGTCTTGTACCTTTTGCACCATAGAATATATTGGGCATATTGTAAATAGGTAATATAGATTTATTCTGAAAAAGTGATTGGTTTGACCAGTGTGTGTATCTAAATATGTATTTGTACAGAGAAGATCTAGTTTAAAAGAAAAAAGGCTATTATAGTTAATATTATTATTCACATTTAATATTGCGGGTGTCCTAAATCCTAACGCTATGAGAGATGGGAAACAGGCAGCTTTTATAGAATACACTCCAGTTACCATGGTAACACATACAGATTATTATAGATTTGCATTCATCATTAAAATTACCATATATTATTACAGGATTATTAAGAAATAGTGTCACCTGTTAAGGTATGTAAAGGGCTATGCTGTATTAGTAAATACATACAGTAAATCACAGCTCACACACTCACACACACACACACACACACACACACACACACAGAGTTCGTGCACTTAGCTGGCTGTTTATTAGGTAAGCCTAATTAAAACTACACCTCTCTAAAACTGTTTCAACAAAAACTACATCTGAGCATCTTCACAAAGGGAGGATTTATTGTAGGACTGTTGTATTAGACTACAATAATTTACTGGTGTAGCTAATAAACTACTAACTTAGTGTATGTTATACAGGCACACACACATGTTCACACCACACACACACACTGATGTAAGTACACAAACATGAATATAGCTGCCAAAGCAACAATAAATCCAGCGTAGATTCATCTTAGAAACCGCTTGATTTCTCCAGTCAGCAACTCCACTTAGTTTACCATAAACTCTGACTGACATGTACTATACAGCATGAGATTTCTTTTTGTTTTGCTTTTTAATTTAATGTACAAGGGAGGAGTCTAATTTTATAGTTGTATCATTATTGTCAGGGCATGCTGGGGTGATTGATGTCATTTCCCCCCTTTCCCCCTGCTTTCTGCCCAAAACATTACTCCTCTGCCCCGCCCTCTCTCTGGTTGTCATGGAGACACAGCAATTTGCATCCTCACTATGGAGCACTATCATTAATCCTTGCACCCTCACAATATTTCTAAAAAAGGAGATTTCTTAAGGATTAAAATGTTTACTAATGGAATATTTCTAATTTTTTTTCTGTTTGAAGAGAATGAAAGAATAAAGTAGTTTTTACTCTTGGCCTCAGACTGTCTTGTCTATAATGATCCTCAACTGTTGCAGCTCTGCCAGCCCCTGTAATGACCCAATCTGCACCAGGTGTGCAGGGAGGACAGTGGAATGAAAGAGCTTATGGGAAATCAGTCTACAATGCTGTTCCTGTGTCCTCCCAGCACACAGGGTTTGAATTCATTCATTAGAGGATGAGTTTAGCCGCACGGCAATACTGGATTTTGTAAAGTGTTTTAGTGTTAAGTATCAAGGCCAGAAAAAAATACAACTTGCTTTATTTTTGCAAATCACACTTGAGAAAGGATCAACACCTTGATGTAGGCAGAATTACGAAGAAAATGAAAAAAAAAAACCCAACATTTTGGCTGAATAAATTATTTTACAAAAACAAATGATATCAACAAAATAGAGTAATTATAAGACAAAGTAAAATCAATTGGTGCAAAGTACCTGTAGTCTTATGCATATGATAGAGCTCTCAGTCACCTCATATTTCTCTTTCACCCCATTCTTCCTGAAATTCCTTTTGTTTCACTCACTCTCTTTGAAAACAAGTACACAAGAGGTTCAGTAAAGGGAGGACTGTGCTGTGAAATGGGCTGAAGTGCAGCAACAAAGCCTTAGTCGACTGACAAACCATTCAGTTCAGACTGTGCTGTTCACCTCCCGATTCGCCTACACCTTGCTCTCGACTTTGCATGGTGATGGTGGTCTCACACAGGGTTTGTGCTCAGGGCACATCCCGGTGACCTCCCGGCATAGGTCAGTAGTCAGTTTACCCTTACATAGTGGTCTCTTCCCATTCCAGTTCGACATCACCTGTAGACCAGCACACATGTATAGAGTGAGCACTGTGCTGCACAGTGTTTCTCTGTGTGTTTTGTTGTTGTTGTTGTTTACCTTCCATTGCATCCAAGGAGTCCATCTTCTCCAGAGCAGAATAGCTGACAAACCAGATGGACTGCCTGTTGCCTTTGTTGTTTAGAAGTTCCAGGGTACTTTGGTGCAGGAAGATGTACTGGGCCTGACAGCACACACAAGGACAGATTTGTACCTTCTGACGATTCAGACAGCAGAGCAGATTACTCTATATTAACTCCTCATTTGGTGCAGTATTAAGCCTTATAATATCATATCATTCCTTTTTGGGGTATCCTAGTGGCCGACACCGACCATGTCAACTTGAGTTCAACATTTTTGTCAGCTCTCCACTGTCTAACCTATGTACAAGGAAAAAAGGTCTTAAACAATAATAATAACAGCAGCAAATGGCCTATAACGGCATAGTGGAAAAAGCACATGAATTGTGGATCTCTTAAATGTGATCAACATTATGTAACTTGAATTGTCCTACAGAGCTGATTGGCAGATTAAGCAAGAAGAAAACATTTGCAGATGCAAACTTGGACTAAATTGTATGTGAAGTGCAAAATAATATGGACCTTAATGTAACAACAGCTACAACAGACATGGATGAAATTTTATTTCAAAATGACAAATGTTGCTCCCTGCAGTCAGCTGTCTTCCTTCTGACATTCTTCAAAATGTAATAACTTGAAAATAAGATACGGATCTGATGTGTGCTGTCATTAGATATATTATAGCCTATTAAATCATAATTTACAGCAAATGTATGTTTGTATAACCTGCCTCTTGACGTCATAGTTTATTACTGTGATCAAGCTTTTTAATACCGTTTTATTTTTAAGTTGAAACATAAATGAACACACATGAAATTCTAGCTATTATCATTCATCATTGTCATTCTATTGTAAAAGCTATGTTAAGAGCACAACAATAAAAATTACACCAAATAAACTGTAAATAAGAAGTGGTTCTGCAGGATCTGATGGACATTCACCATAACTTTAACAGTTGTCTTTGTTTGCTCTTCCACATAAGTGGTTTATACATATAACATGATTAACTACTAAGCATTGGGTCCCTGCAGACACTAAGACACACACCAACAGTCCATAAATAATGAATGAGTGGGTTAATGTTATCATGCTGTTTCAAGAGGGGAATCCTGTTCAACATATGCCTTTAATCCACTGCCAGATTCTTTGTCAAAACAAGAATTTTCCAGATACTTCGCCATGGGGATGGGATCACAGCAGGACATGAAGTAAAAAGTAGGACAACTACACTTCCCTTATGAGTCTTCGGTGATGCTTAAGAGTAGTGGAAACACTTGAGACAATGCAGTTTTTTAATCTTTTGTTTATTTTCTCCAGGTTGTGAAGTTTAAACAAAGGAATAAAATATACTGTTTTATTTGATGTGAACTCACCAGATTCTGTACCATGCACATCCTCTCACTGCGCAATTCAGCCACCAGGCCGTAAACATCCACAAAGTCGTGATCTCTGATGTGCTGAATGAGGTGGTCTAGAGCGATAAACACACCTGTTCTTCCCACACCAGCACTGTGGGGCAGTGAGAGAGCAATTATACTCTGTGATGCTCAGTTACATTTAAATTACTTTAATACCCCATTTAAGCCCCAAAACACAAACTTTTTATTGTATCATTTATAGTAATGATCAAAACCAAAGTAATTGCTGCACTTCATTTTTGAGAACATTACAGTTATTTACGTATGCATTAGCACAGAGGGGCCACAGTACCTGCAGTGAACCACTATAGTGCTGTTGTCATGCCTGTGGGTTCTGACAGCTTTGACAAACTTAATGAAAGTGCTGCAAGACTCCGGGACCCCGTGCTCAGGCCACGATGTGTAGTTGAAGTGGTGAACCAGAATGTAGTTCCCATACTGCACAGAGGATTTTATACAAGAAAGAAGACAGGAAGTTAAATTTCATATTGGTACTCATAATTCCTTCATTATTATGCAAGTTCCAGTGTTTACATAGACAGATGAAAGGCTTTTCTCTTTGCCAGAAGTAAAATAGAGTTTTGTTAGCAAAAACGTACGGCATAGCAGTTCTTAAGGATTAAGTCCAATGATATTTTCAATTTAAATATATACAAATATTAAATCAATTCTGTTAGCACACAGTTTATTATCATTTTCTTGCTCTATTTTTTAAATTCTCATTGTTGTTTTCTGTTCGTGTTGCTTTGCAAGATGTTGACAGCCTCTGTACCGTAGTCAAATTAGTGTATGTTCAAACATACTTGGCCATTAAAGACAATTTTGATTCTGATTCTAACAAGCTTTGTCTCTGCAGCCAGAGCTTGATATAACTTATTTCATTGTGCTATGGATCTCCATTGTGTTGTTACTATTAAAACACATCACTGTGCTGCACTATTGCACTGACAGACATGTTCCTTCATTAAAATGAAGAATGGCAGTTTATTCTGACCAAACCAAGTCCCCAACAGATACACAATTCACTCCTGTTCCAATAACACTGGTTAGAAACTCCACTGCCCAGCAGCTAAAGGAAATAAGTGAGCCTTTTTAAAAGTATGGCATGTACAGTATTTTCTAACCCATTTTTAAAGATCTTTAGTAGAAGGTCTGGGCTGGGGAATGGACCATAGTGGAAGTGGGAGACACATTATTTAATTTTGCTCTATTCAGAAAAAAAATCTACTTAAAACCAGCTTTATCCATGGTAATACCATGGTATTGAGGACATTTTGCCCAGGCCCCACTTTCTCACACATCTTCAAAGGGCTAGGTAGGACTTGGTTTCAGGGTTACGTTTAGAGTTAGGCAATTAGTTATAATGACTGACATTAGGGTAAGGAGTTAGGAAATGCATTATGTCAATGAGAGTCCTATAAATGATGTGCGCTTGTGAGAGGTTATTAGCTCAGTTACCTTTTCTACTTTCAAAGTCCTGACAGTCCAGTCAGGAAAAACCTCCTCTGACACTTTTGAAATTAGAATGTCACTAAACACTGACATTGGCTTGTTGTCCTCAGGCCAGTACCTGTGACACCGAATCTGAAATGTCACACACATACGCACACACACACACACACACACACACACACACACACACACACACACACACACACACACACATAAGACTTTTGTCTCAGGGTTGTAAAAGCGAACAAAGGAAGCCCAGCTTGTTTTATGAATGGTGATAACAGTCATGTTTCATAACAGTATGAAAATCGTGTAGTATCATAATAGTATCAAATCAATAACGCACTCTGCCTTTTTCGAAACATTGTGTGAGCATGGCGATAGTGCGGGTTCCTGTTTCCCAGATCATCCTCCAAAAGTCAGCGACAGTGCCAGGCAGAGGACCCTGGGTGGCTATGAACTCATTGGGACACAGGTAGCCCTTAGGACACAGAAGAAGAGCCACATGTGCAAGCTCAAAAGTCTACAGTATGTATGCATCTACTGTATCTTTCTTTTACTCTCTCTGACAGAATCAAAGAGCAAATATGTATATAGAAATGTGTAGGATGTTTTAACAGCTACATAACTAATGTCAAAACCTGATAATGACTCAAATGAAAGAAACACTCCAGATTAAACATAGCTTTTTGAGCAGCTACTAACTGTTACTCACTGAGATGAAGCTGGCATTGATGTAGTCAGAGCCAGCAGGGCCTTGATCTGACAGCAGCTTCACTCGATTGTTGTTGTCTGAAAACATTACAGTGACAAGAATGTGATAAATTCATGTGAAATGCAAATGTGTTGGTACCTGCAATTAATGTTAGCGATAAAGCACAGATATATATTTGTTGTTGGCTTCATTAGTCTGGAAGATAATTTTGTTGCCTGACCACTTACAAGGTTTGATGTTGGGAAAGCGATTCTTGGATTTGTTCCACGGCAGGTCAGCATCTGTCGTGGCCAGGTCCTGCAGCAGCTTTGGGAGCTCCTGGGTATAGATAATATAACAACCACTGATCATATAACCACACAAAAATGAGGTTAAATGTACTTTTAACTGTTCAAAAATTTGTTTTGGACTTAAGGATGCAGTATCTAACGTTTTTCAAATATTTTACTTGGAAAAATCTCCACAACCTGTCTTAATGTGGAGAGGTGCTGTCGAAGCCTCCTGTGACCCAGACTCACTGAACAGCACCAGCAGCAGTGCAAAGATATTAGCATGTAAAAGGCTTAGACTGGGACTGACCTCTCTAACCAGTTAGTGATTTTCAGTTATTTCTGCTTGATCAGAAAGTTTTGTTTTCTCATTTACTGTAATTTCATAATGACAAATATCTGAAGATCTGGGCAGAGCGTGGCAGATCGTAGTAGAGCATAGTTGAGATTGGAGAGGGAGCGCTGGGCGGAGCAGAGTGGATTGAGTTTGACTTTTAGTCTAGTGCTAGCTTAAGTTACATACTGTAGCTTTAATTTAGTGATAAAAGTAAAACAGAATTACAAAATGTTCAAAGATTTAATAAAATATCAAATGGTTTGATTAAATTATTTATCACACTCCTTTTGACTTGTTGTTACATTTAAGAGAACTCTTAAAGGCCGTTTAAGTTGGAAACAAACTCTTAAATTCCTCTAACTACGTTTATACTGTGATCTTAGATGCAATAGGGACACAGAGGCAAGCGTGTACCTCCTGACATGTCTTTGACTGTATATGACTAGTCATAATGAATAATAAAGAAAGAAATATGTATAATTCATAACAAGGTATTTTTAGAACAGTATTTGCAGCTGCTGCCTTCTTGTAAGATTTTCTCTCCAATTGCTTATTTGATAAATTGCTTTGTTTTGTATTTTGCCAGAAAAAAAGAAAAATGAAGCACTGATTTTGTTTTCAATTTCCATGCACCTTCACTGTCTGCATTGAAATCACTCTGATTATCTGTATTTTGCAACTGATTGTCAGTTCCAGGCAATTCCATATTTTTATCCCAATATTTATACACACTTATATGTTTGCTAAACATGGGTCCAGGTAGCAGGCAAACCCTTACAGCAAACTCTTCTTGGAACTTGGCATTGTCGTTGGCACACAGCTCCTCTACATGCTGCAAAAAAGACTTCTTACTGATGGGCCTAACAAAGAGAGGAATACACTGAATATAAGGTTCAGGGAGAAATGTGCAAAAACCCTATAATAATATGATTCTTGTAAGTTACACAACATGTAATACTGAGCAGTACAGAACATGCTGATCTATGCTGCAGCTACTGTGTGCACATTCACATTATGTATTCAGGATGACTTACTTGAGTGATTTTCTGTAGCTGAGCAGCCTAGACAAAAATAAACAGCGAAAATCAACCAAAATAAACAAATTAACTCAATAGTCACAGCCTGCACAATGATATTTCTGTCCATGAAGGCTTAACTGATCCTTTTTGCAGAGTGTGAGTGATATTATATGTTTAATCAAAGGATTTATTACCATTTCTAATCAAATCCACTTTGATTTCACACTAGCACTGATGCTTCATTCTGAAGGAATACTTGAACATCATTACACTTGTGGTTATTTCCCTGTAGCTTGTGCTGCTTTGCATTACTGAAGACTTGTGGCTCCACAAATCCTCAGCTATCGATAAAGCTTACCATTTGTGCCCTCTAAGACCACTAAGCCTTCCAAGCAATTTTGAGATAGTGAGTGGGTAAACAAATTAAAATGGTCTCAAGCACAGGAGTGTCAGCTCAGCTCTACAACCCCTGTCAGTGATGGAGGAAAAGGAACAAGCTGCAGGCAAAATGCTGATTTCACTGATTCATTGAACTGTTGACATCCTCTAAAGGTTTAAGTGGGCAACGAATGCAAAGTGGAGTGCAACATGCAAATAAAATACACAGCAAAATGTGGAGCACACAGAGCAAAAGCCCAACTTACTGAATGACATAAATGTCTTTCCGCCTAAAGAAGAAGGAAGAATACCTGGCGGGAGAAGAGCGCTCAGTAAGTCAAGGTGACTCAGTGCATGTGTCTGCATGCAAGGAAAATTATTTGTGCAATCGGTGATTGAAAAAGTGGGTTAGTGTAATATGAACTGTGCTTAGAAAGGTGGTGTTTATACAGATCTCAGCTCACTTTCCAACACATGGAGAGACTCAGGTCACAACAAAGCAGAGAGTCACACTGTCCTAATGAAGTCAGTCTGAGCTTAGGAGACAGCTTGAGCAGCTTAAGCACAACATGCAACGGTCAAAAACCTTTATTTTTTAAGTATATGACTGCTAACATGAGTGGATGGCAAGTTATTCTCAGGATCTGCCTCTTTATTCAGCAAGTGTGACTATGAAGAGCCACTGCATACAAAGCGATGTCATCTTCAATGTTTAATAAGACAGGCAATATTTGCTCAGGTATGGCCTTTATATTATATACTTAGTAATTCTTTCAATGCTGATGCCTATTGTTTTCTTAAATGAACATTTGCAATTCATAAAAAAGCTAAAATTGTTGCAGTGCCTCTCTTTTCTCACCTCTCCTTAACCAGCATTGACCTTGATACACCACAATTAACACTAAATGTGACCTTGATTCCTCACCTGATGCAAAACTGTAGCTTGAGGAGAAAGAACAGCTTGCAGCATTTGCTGTCTGTGCATTTGTTTGTGCCAGAAAAAAAAAAATCACTAAAAACAGAAGAGCTAGACGCTTGAATTTGTAGGAGAGGGTGGTTACAGAGATGGAGACAGGATGACTTGGCTGTTCTGCAGAGAACTGAAGGTAAACAATAAAGCCACAATGATACTGTGTTGTATATTAGTACTGCAGCTTCTATTTCTGCACATACTACAACACTATAAATGTTTGTGCTGACAGAAGCACATATCAAATTGGCTGCAGATATCTTTCCTTTTTGACATGTACTTAACATCTTACTTGGAACAGCTAAATCAAGCCTCAAATCATGTAGTGTGCACCCAGCCTCCGCTGCCAAAAATGTGTGTGTTATATTTGGCAGGGATGCTTTTAGAGTAAAAGTAAGCACTGAAACTTACCGGTTGAGTTTCTCCTGTTTCAGGTCCAGATCTGTCACAGTGATCAGCTGATCCAGTTTATACTTGGTCTCTATGATCTCTGCCTCTCTGGGTGAATAAGTCCCTCCCTCCTTCTTGCGTTGATGGATCCTGATATTAGATAACACACACATGCCAACCAAACAAATTAGTTAACGACAAGGTAAATACGAAATTAAAATGAATAAAATGGAAACAAATGTATAAAAGATTTTGCGGTGCTCATTTAGCCATATTTCAACAGGTGTTTGCACATGGCATGTTTCTTGTGCATTAATTTTAAATTGCAAACAATACAAACAATGCAGTGATTTGGCAAATGTATTAATGCTTGGAAATGAATGAATGCTTTTTGCCATCTTACCTGACTGAGGCACAGATGATGATGATGAGTAACACAACTAAGAGGACGGACAGCAGAACTCCTAGAATAATCTGCTCTTGTTTAGTCATCAGCCCGATTACTACAGAGAGACGGAATTGGCAACATCACGCAAGAACAACCATGAGGACTATATAGTTTGTTATACTTTCAATTTTTGATATAGAGTAATACAGGGATGACTAGAAATACCTGCAGTTTTGACATGCAGTGAGTACTCAGACTCTGTGTGTTGGCCATTGATGTTAGTCGCTCTGAACTTAAACCTGGCAAATATATATATAAAAAAGAATGTTATTATAACATGTGTAGAGCATATACAACTGTCACTTTTTAAACAGAGAATGTGACGGTATGTCATGCTGTGTTGAATGTTGGGATGGTGAATGGTGGTAGGGAGGTGCTGTATTTACCTGAGTACATTCTTGCTTTGTTTGTCTAAAAGTTGCTTAAATCATTTAGGCCTCACTTTACTAACTGTGGTAATTCAGAATGGATAACTTAGCTGACTGTAGCTAACTTCTAGCAGACCTAGAGATCCCGTTGATGGGAGTGACAGACTGAAAAATGACTCTGCACCCTGATCTCAGCTCTCAGTTCACGAGCTAAAGCTAGTTAGCAGCTGTTGCCAGTTAATGGAAACACTGCAGATGAATCAATTTCTCTCATGTCTGTGCTCAAACTGAACACTAAAGTGGACATTTGGATGTAGTTGAAGCATCCGCTATTCTATTTGGCTCTATGGGATAGTATTAATTTTTTTAAAATTAGCTTATGTATGTAGTGTATATCTCTATGATGCATAATGAACGTGATGTCACGCTCCTGCCCCTCTTGCTTCCTGTCAGGCTTTTATTTTCTCATCACTTCCTGTTTTGTTTCACCTCACTTTTGGCCCTTTTATTTACTCATCATTAGTTCACCTGCTCCTTATTGTTTGCACCTGTTTTTCCCTTCTATTTAGGCAGCGTCCTCCCACCAGGACGCTGCCAGATTGTTCTAGACCCCAGCTCTGACTCTCCAGCATTTATCCCTTGCCTGACTCTCTGTGTTTGACCTAGGATTACCGTTTCTTGACCACCGTGTTTTGTCTATGCCCTCTCAGATTCAGATCGCCTGCTGTGTACCGACCTTCTGCTTTTGTTCCCCTTGACCTCGAGTTTGGATCCCCTGGATATACCTGTCA